CTCCCGTCCTTCCCTTTTTCCTTACTTCCTTCTTCCCTCCCTCCCTCCCTCCTTCCTTTCCTTCCTGCAGGGGTTCATGTAGCCCAGGCAGGCCTTGAACTTACTGTGTAGCCAAGGAGGATCTTGAACTCTTGATCCTCCTACCTTCATCTCTCAAGTGCTGGGGTTGCAGATGTGTATACCACAATACGAGGATTTCTGCAGTGCTAGGGACTGAACCCAGGGATTCTACTACCTGGACTATATTTCCAACCCATCTCCTTAATTTCTTAAGGTTTATTCTTTTGAAGAACTTTGGTAATCAGGAAATTTGTTTCTTTACAGAAACCAGGTTGGTTTCCTCTCAGTAGATGAATATTGAACTTCTTTTTAAAAAATATTTTATTTATTATTATGTGTATGAGTGTATTGCCTGCATGTAGGTTAATGGTACCCATGTCGTGCAAATGCCCTCAGAGGACAGAAGCCGTCGGATCCCCTGGAACTGGAGTTATGGACAGTTGTTAGCTGCCATGTGGGTGCTGGGATTTGAACTTGGGTCTTTTGCAAGAACAACCAGTGTTCTTAACCACTAAGCCATCTCTCCAGCCCCAATATTGAACTTCTTAAGACTTAATAATTAGAGGTGTGAGCAATGTCTATGACTTTTATATACATATTAACCTTAGGGGCTTTATTTTTACCTTTAATATATTTTGTCTTACATCAATTTATAATCAATTAATTGAGGGTTTAAAAGTTTTGAGTTATTGTTATTACATGGCATTAGAGGATATATTTGATTGCCAAGCTCATGTGATTTGTACTATTAAGTTTTCTCTTAATCAGCTTTAACATAATGTGACCATTTTATTTTTAGGTAATAGGCCTGTATCGATTATGCGGTTCAGCAGCAGTCAAGAAAGAACTTCGAGAAGCTTTTGAGAAGGATAGCAAAACTGTTGGTCTGTGTGAAAACAAGTACCCAGACATAAATGTAATAACAGGTAATAAATGGATTTTATGTTATGTACTAATTCTGGAAAGATTACACCTATTGGAAAGAAAATTGAAATACGTTTTTTGTAACCTAAACTTAATTTGATTTTATTTTGAAGTCTGCTTTTCCTTTATAAACTACTTACTGTGTTATTTTTCAGGGGGATATATTAAGATACGGCCCCCTTTTCTTAAATAGCCAACACATGATATGGGGAAGTAACATTTAATTCACAGTAATAGCTTGCAGACTATGTCTTCATAGAGACCACATGCCTCAGCAGTTAAGTTTGACTGGCCTTAGGTGATGAAAAGGAAATTGATGATTTGATTAGAGAATTTAAATTATTTACTAGGCAGAAGGGGATCCAGTAAAGATTTTTGAGTAGGAGAGTGAAGTCATTAAGGACTGTTTTGAGGGATGATAATCTGGTTACGTTACTGTGTGATACATTGAAATAGAAGAGAAGAGGGTAGGAAAATCAGGAAACTCTGGCATCTCCCAGCATCGAAGTAATGAGAGCTAAAAGTACTAAAAGTAGCTGCAGAGACAGGAGGGAGGAGGGGACCTGAAAGGGCCTGAGCACCAGAGGGTGGAGACACAATCTGAAAGGGGCTCATCATGTGCCACTGGCAGAAATAAGAGAGCTGGTGGCAGGGCTGCTGTTGATAGCTGCAGAAATGTTGAAAAGATATGAATTGGGTTTTTATTTGAAAAAGCAAGAGATGTAAATGGATATATCAAGCATGATTGATAGTTCTTGTCTGATGCTGAAGAAAGGCTGTAGAAGAATTAAGGGGATTTTTTTTTTTTTTTTTTTTTTTTAAAGATCATGTCTCATTAGGTAGCTCAAGCTGGCCTCAGATTTAGAATCCTCCTGCCTCAGCCTCCTATGTTTGTGTTGGGATTATTGAGGGGTCTTCTATTTATCCACATGGTGAATATAAGTTATTGGATAGCAATGGAAAGAATGCTTCTAGAATCTCTGAGTTGAGGTTGAGAAATGGAAGTTTGAGAGATATTGGCATGTAGATAATTAAGTCCTGAATTATCCATGAAAGTTTGAAAAGACAAGGACTTTGGAGAGAGCTCTCAACTTTGGAGGCAGGCAAAGAAGTTGTTTTTAAATAGATTTAGAGGAAAGGAGACAGTAGAGGTAAAGAAAGGAATAGGAAGGCAGTGCTGCCCTGTGGAGGGGCCAGAGGAGAACAGAAAAAGGCATTTGAACTCTGCTGTTAGGAGGTTGACCAAAAACCTTAGGGATAATCTTCCGGGTCTATTTCTGTGTTAGTTTACTTTTTAGTTATAAACTTTTTGAACATATGCAAAAGCAGAATGCTATGAGATATATCCATTTCATTCATCACCTGATTTTCATAACTATCAATACATGATCAGACTTGTTTCATTAGATCCCATATTTGATCCTCTCTAACCCCAGATTATGTGGAAACAAATTCCAGACATCAAATTCTTTTATCCACAGATGCTTCAGTTGGTTCCCTTATGTTTTCTGTGTTTTTTGCTTATTTTTTTTTTTTCCCCCTTTTGAGACGGTCTCCCTGTAGCCCCAGCTAGCCTGGAACTCGCTATGTAGACTAGGCTGACCTTGAGCTCACAGAGATCTGCCTCCTGAGTGTTGGAACTAAAAGCGTGAGCCACCACTCCCAGCTCATAATTTGTTTTCTTATTTTATACACAATTATCTAGGTCAGAATTTGAGGAAAGTTCACCTTGTACATATTAAAGAGATATTGGTTATCCTTTTAATAAGTGAAACCTTTTCAAGCTTCTTTAAGGATTGAGGCTTTAGGAATAATTGAGGTTCCTGCTCTGAGTACTAAATGGCTGTTACTTATATAGAGGATTTAATATGATACATACTCTTGAATGACCATCATTTTGATCTCAAGCATTTTATTACTAAGAGAAAACAGACCTAGGTACTTTTCCATGTGTGTGAATTTTAACAAGTTAGAGACTTCTATATTTTTGTAAGCAGGGACTTATTAGTATTTAATTCTTTCTTAATGTTTTTGTTGTTTTTGTTTTTATTTTTATTGAATTTTTGTGCATTTCATCTAGAAAATCACCTTTATAATCCCTTCCCCCTTCCCCTTTGGCACCCTCCCATAGCCCCCCACTGGAGTTCCTATATTCTGTCATTTGTATTAAGGCCTATTATGTAAAGTTAGTGTCCAAGAGATGTTCCTTAGTGCAAGTTCATCCACCAGGGTTTAGTCAGCCTATCTAGATTCTCTTCCTTCAAGAAGATCAGCTCTTCCTCCCTCAGCAATAATCAGCTGCTAATAATTCTTCGACTAAGATTGGGGCCTGCTGTTCATTTCCACAGTTCTGTGCTAGGTTTTTGTCTGCCTAAGTTTTCATGGGTCTTGTACATGCTGACACCATTGCTATAGGTTTGTATAAGGGTCCCAGGTGCCTGTAGGACCATTTCTGTATGGTTTAATTCTTTTTTAATGCTATTGTGATGTCCTTGTTTTCGCTCTCCTCTGCCTGTTTCTGTCTCTTCACACTGCTTGTGCTCTCTCCTCCCACTCTCCTCTCCCCACTCTCCCTCCCCCTCTCCTGTCTCTCCTCTCTTACTCTCCAGCATCTACTTGTAAATATTTTACTCTTCTCAGGTCTCTGTCACAGAGACCATGTTACTGAGTTGATGACCTTGCCTCCACAGATCATAAAGAAAATGGAAGCCATCGGAATCAGAGCAGCTCCTTCGTGCAAGTGCTTTTTCTTTCATCCTTTCTTCCACTTCCCACTTTCCTTGCCGTGGTGGGGTAGAAATGACCTTCTCACCCCGGGAACTGATTTGATTCCTTCTTGTGTTCTCAGGAATCTCTGCTTTCTTCTCTGGGGACTTTGCTCAGTTGATTATACACTCTCTCCTGGGCCTTGGAAGCCTTTCTTCTATTTTTAATGCATTCATTTCCTAACCAACCGTCTGACTGTTCTTTATTCCCTTGAAACTGTTTGCCAAGGTTGCTGACTTCCTTTTCTGGTGGATTTTTTTATCCTTATTTCTAATGGCCTCTCAGTCATTGTCTCTCTATACCTAGCTATAAAAATCTGCTGCCAGAGAATCACACGAAGAATTAGGACTTGGTCAGAGATTATGATGCAGTAGGTCTGGAAAATACTGCCCCACAGTATTGAATGCCATTCTCCTATAACCTAGTTATTGGGTAGCATTTGATACTAGAGAGCCTTGCTGGGAACATTTTATGCTTGCCTTCATTAGTGACCTGTTTGTCATTCTCCTCACCTAACCACATGAGGTCTTCTGTCATTCTTCCTTAGTCACTTTTGGAAGATGCTGTTCCCTGAAAAGTTGATGTTCCTTAGGGTTATTTTTTAGGTCTTCTCTTGACACTGTCTATAGCTTCCTGATGTTCTTAGTCTTCTTTTTTGTTTATAGACCTTTTTTTTGGTGGGGGGAGGGCTGAAGTACCTAAGACAGGGTCTCAGGTATCCAGGTTGGCCTGGAATTTGCTATGTAGCAGAGGATGACTTTGAATTGATCTTCTGCTTCCACCTCCCGAGTGTTGGTCATTCTCAGGTCTGGGTCTTTGATTGTCTCTTCGTGAGCCTCAGATTCTTCTATCTAGCAAACTTAAATGTCCCATAGATACTCTTCTTCCTACTTGTTAATCCATAATTTCCTTCTGTGCTCCTTGTTTGAACTAAATATCACCTTACCCACCTGGATGCCAAAGCCAGTGCCGACCGAAGCCTGGCAAAGAAACATTCCTGTTTCCCTTTTCTTGCTGAATTACAAATGTCTTTTTTAAAAAAACTTAGCATACCTGTCTTCATACAAAATGGTGATATACAAGGTATTTGTTATTGCCTGTTTTAGAATAATGAAAGATTAGGAACAACCCAAATATCCATCTGTAGAGCATGAACACCCAAAACTGTATGGGATACTGTGATATGGCTGTAAGTGATTGAGGAAGCCGTCCACATGCTGAGAAGAGCTCAATGGTATGGTTTTAAACAATTAGTAAACAAACATAGGTGAGAGGCAGTGCCGTCTTTTATGTGAAAAAGGGAGAGAAAGGGTATTTTCATAAACAAATACTAGAAAGTATATTAAAAAGTAATGAACCAAGCTGGGCATGGTGGTTTATGCCCTTAATCCCAGCACTTGGGAGGGGGTAGTATAGGCAGGTGGATCTCTGAGATATAGAATGAGCTTCAGGCTAGCTGTGGCTACAGGGAGACCCTAAAATATGTCTCAGAAAACCTAAAATAAAATAATGAACCACATTACTGTTAAATTTTAAAATTATCAGATGAAGACTGGGGAGATGGCTCAGCAGTTAAGAGCACTGGCTGCTCTTACAGAGGACCCAAGTTTGGATCCTAGCATTCACATGGAGGCTAACTGTTCATAACTCCAGTCTAGGAGATTCAAGGGCCCTCTTCTCACCTCTGTGGGCATTGCATGACACGAGTGCACTTACCTATATGCGGGCAATATACTCAGACACATAAAATAAAAATAATAAAATATTATAAAATTTATCAGATGAGAAACTTTCCATATTATCCTATTTAAATTCAAACTAAGGCTATTTAGACTAAGTTCTGAAGCTTTGAGAGCAGATATAGAATCAGTATTATACGTATTTAGGCTTTAAGAGTCAGAAGTATCTCATTTTCTTTTGTGAAATTCTACCTTTACTTAGTATCTTACCTGTTTTGCTATATATGACCACTGTTGCTACTCACTGTTCCCCTCCTATAAGTAGTATTTCTCCCTTTAAAACCACTTGTGGCATGTTCAGAATTGACTTCTTGTCTCCTGCATTGTCAAGGCTGATGATCTCTGCTCTTGATCTTTGTTTTCATTTGTTTGGTCTTTTAGGGATGCTCTTTATCTTCTTGTATGATAGTGTTGTGTTAGAGACCATCCATATAGCATATCTATTTAAGACACATGTTCTGAATTAGAGAGGAAATATATTGCTATCCCACACTTCTTTACAAGGGCTTTGGACCATGGCACTTAAAAAAATACTTCATTATTTTTATTTTATGTATATGAGTTATGTGTATGTAAGTGCACCACATGTGTGCAGTACCCACAGAGGCCAGAAGAGGATGTTGGATCTCCTAGAACCGGAGTTATGGATAGTTGTTAACCTCCATGTGGTTGCTAGGGATTGAACCCTGGTCCTCTGGAAGAATAAGTGTTCTTAACCACTGACCATCTCTCCAGCCTCTGGACCATGGCACTTTTACTAGCCATTAAAAGTTAAGAAATTCAAAATATGTATAATCAAATAGTTTTTAACTAACATTAATTAGTATATGTTGCTTTCTTGTTTTGCATGTACTCAGAGGAACTTCTTTGGGGGGGGTACAGAGTTGGTAATTCATATGTATCAAGAATAGCTTTCATTCCTACTAAGAGACCTATGTCTGTTAATTGGAAATTGTGTGTGTGCATCTTAGCATGCTTTCAAAACAAAGCTAGTTATTAAGGTAACTTGAATGCAGAATGCCAGTGTTTCTATGTTGTTGCTTTTATTGTTTTCTGACTATTAAAAGCTAACTATAATGCTCGAGTTTTTAAAAAAGTTCACTGTGGTTCTTTATTTTACTCTGAAGATCCATCATGGCTGTCTCTGATCTGTTTTTAAAGGTGTTCTTAAGGATTATTTACGAGAACTTCCTTCTCCTTTGATAACAAAGCAGCTGTATGAGGCTGTATTAGATGCAATGGTAAAAAGTCCTTTGAAAATGTCATCGAATGGCTGTGAGAATGAATCCAGTGACTCCAAGTTGACTGTTGACCTGCTGAATTGTCTGCCTGATGTTGAGAAGGTAAGCCTGAAAGCTAGCTCATGAGTTAGGTCCTTAGCTCTGTTGCCACACAGCCTTCTAGGTCTTTGACGTCTGTGGCATTTGGGTTTACGCTCTGCCTTTACTACTTTTTTTTAATGTTTTAAAAAATTATTTTTATTTTATGTGTATGAACATTTTGCTTGCATGCATATAAGTGTACAACATGTATGTAATGCCTGGAGAGGCCAGAAGAGGCCATTGGATCCCCTGGAACTGCCATGTGGGTGTTGGGAACTGAACCCTGGTCCTCTGCAGCCAGTCAGCCAGTGCTTTTAACCACTGAGTCATCTCTCCAGCCTTCTTTTACAAGTTTTTCACCTCTGAACTTATTTGTTTAGTTATTTCTAGACAGAGTCTTCCTAAGTAACCTGGCTTTAAACTCATGGTCCTCCCACCACAGCCTCTCAGGTTCTGGCATGGACCACACTACACCTGATGTTTTGATTTTTTTGAGATGGTCTGGCTATGCAGACAGGTTTGCCTAGAACCAGCCATTATATTTTATTTATTATTTTTATTTTATGTGTATGAGTGTATTACCTGAATGTATGTAAGTGTATTTTGTCATGTCATGAAATGCCTGAGGAGGTCAGAAGAGAGCGTAGGATCCCCTGGAACTGGAGTTAGAGATGGCTATTAGCTGCCATGTGAGTACTGGGAATCGAATCCAGGTCGTCTTCAAGAGCAGCCAGTGCTCTTAACCGCTGAGCCATCTCTCCACCCCCTTTACCACTTCTTACATAGTCTGTGTCTAGAAATCAGTGTTATGCTTTCTGTGTACTATTTTAGCCTAGGCATGAATTTATTTATTTATTTATTTTTAAAAGATGTTTTATGTGTATGTTGTGAGTGTCTGCATGTATGTATTTGTACCATGTACATATCTGGGGCCCATAAGGCCAAATGAGGGTGTTGGATACCCTGGAACTGGAGTTACAGTTGGTTATGAGCCACCATGTGGATGCTCTTAACTGAACCTGGGTTCTCTGTAAGAGCAGCCAGTGCTCTTAACCACTAAGCCATCCCTCCAGCCCCAATGGCTTACTTTTTTTTTTTAATGTGTTCAGAAGCACCAGGGTTTGGAGTGGACTCTCCAAACACGGGGAAAGGCTGTCAGCATCCTCTCCTTGTAGTATCAATGCCCAGGGCACAGACAACCCACTATCACTTCCAAATATAGGGGGCTTTATAAGTTTTTAAGTGTACTATTACCTTATTTTTAAAATAATGTTTAGAAAAAATTGAGAGTAGTAAAGAATTTAAAATTGTAATTATCAATATTCAGAGGCAGCTATAACATTTTGGAGTATTTTAGTATTTTAAAATATGGCATCTGTTTTAGTGTGTATAGCCTAGTCTTCACACTTGTATTTTCCCATTTGTCCCCACCCCCCCATCTAATCTTTGTACCAGCATCCTTAGGCATGCCTGCAGAAAAGAAATGACTGATCGACAGGACCAGCCTCAGCCTAACTTTAGCTGCTGCTCTTAAAATAGAAGGGAAAAAGGAGGGATTTGGTTGGGCTTGTCTAAAGAAGGCCAATTTTGCCCACATTTCTTGTCATGTGAGCACAGAAAGTACAAGGACAAGTGGGTGAAAGCTTGCTTGAGTCCAATAACTTTATTCATCTGTTTATTGTGGCCCCTGAATGCCCTGTGTTTTGTCCAAAAGTTGACTCCTTTGGGGCAGGAGCAGCTAGAGTACAGAAACACAGGGTAAGGGGGAAGCAAGAGGGGTTCTGTGAGGATGCTCCCTCCCAAGATGAAATTATAAGTGCCACATTTTTTTTAAAAAATGAGTGTCACTTCTAAGTGAAGAAATGAGTGTCAGGAATTTAAATCATATACCCAGAGTTATGTAGCTTTATAAGTGTCATAGTCTATCATGATATCTTGTTGAGCACATCTGGCATAATTTAATCAGTATTTGATTTTATATAATATTTAGTTTTTGAACCAATTTGTATATATTTGTACATGGAATTTTCTTTTCAGCTCTAGGAATGTTTTGTTCTGTGTTTTTTTTTTTTTTTTTGTCTTTTTGAGGCAGGGTCTCCCTATAGCCTCAGCTGTCCTGGAACTCACTGTGTAGACCTGGCTGGCCTCGAACTCACAAAGATCCACCTGCCTCTGCCTCCAAGTGCTGGTATTAAAGGTCTGCGCCACCACGCCCGGCTCTGTTTTGTTTTTGAGACAGGGTCTCACTCTGGCCCAGGCTAGCCTAGAACCACTATGTAGCCCAGACTGGCCTCATACTCATGGCACTCCTTCTGCTTTAGTATGCTGAATACTGGGTTTACAGGAGTGAGTCACCATGCCTGGCTAAAGTAGCTTATTTACGGTGTAATTGCTTACTTAAGTAGTGTGAACATTTTAAGACTTAATATTTTCTTAGTACTTCTCAAAAGAGACTTAACTTGAAATGTCTTGGTTCATCTTATTTTACTAAACCAAAAATAAAAAAACCCTAAAAACAAACCCCATCTTACTTTAAGTTGAATTTGTTGTTGTTGTTTTGAGCTTGAACTTAACCAGGTGCGATGGTGGTATGTATCTTGCAGTCATAATACAGCTAACATAGCCTTACTAAGTCAGTGTATATAGAGTTTTAAATGTGTTAGGAAATTAGGTGAAACAAATACTCATTATATAGCCTTGGCTGGCCTGGAACTTACTGTCTAGACTAGGCTAGTCTTGAACTTCCTGCTTCTGCCTTCTGACTGCTGGGATTACAGGTGTATACCACCAGGCTCAGTTAGTTTACTTTGATTTAAAAATACCAATTGTAGTTGTCTTCAGCTTTCGGTTTCCTCATTCTCTCCTGGTCCTTTCTCATTATAGCCAAACACTGAAGGGTGTCTCTTCTGGTTGTCATCCTTCATTACCCATTTATGGCTCAGCCAACACATCACACAAGGCTTTCCTACCTTGTTTCTCTGGATCTGCTCTTGTCAAGGTCACTAGTGGCCTTGCCACCAAATCCAGTTCTCAGTTTTAGCTTCAGAAATAATACCATTTTTAGGATTTTTAAGATGCAGGTTTTTTTTTTTTTTTTGTCTTTTTGAGACAGTGTCTCCCTGTAGCCCCAGCTGTCCTAGAACTCACTATGTAGACCATGCTGGCCTTGAACTCACAGAGATCCGCCTGCCTCTGCCTCCCGAGTGCTGGGATTAAAGGCGTGTGCCACCACACTGGGCTAAGATGAAGTTTTTAATTCACATTCTTTTTTAAAAATATAACTTATAAAAAAGAAATGATAGCTCATTTCATCCTCTTTTCCATATGTATATAAGACCTAACAATCATTCCTTGTCAGTAATCATTTGAGTCAAGTTCCTTTACTAATTTAAGAATTGAAACAAAGATTTTTTAGGAAATTTTTCTCTTAATCCTAACTGTGCTCTTTTGTTCTTTATCATATTTTATTGGCTTAAAACATTTATTGAAGAGCCTGCTGGGAAAACCAGAGAAGCAAGCTGACCTTTAAAACCATGCTCTCTAATAGGTTGTTCAGGTCCTAGTCTTGTTCTAAGAAGTCAAGGCTTCCAAAGTATGGTAGTCCCCTACTGACCACAGGATTTTCTGTATCTAAAAACAAACCCTCCTTCCCATCATAGCTGTTGATGTTACCATTTTAAAGAGGGAGGACAGGAAAGAGTTGATGGTAGATGTGTGTCCCAAAGGACTCTGAGTTGAAACTTAGAAGACATTCATAAGTATTTTTTTTAAAGAACAGATAACCATTTAATAGATTAGATTATGTTTGGACATAATTTAGGCCTTGTGTAATTTTACTATAAGAAAATTTGTTCCAGACTTCAAGTAGCCAACTTAAAAGCAAGCCATCTCTGAAATAACTCTTTTAAAAGGGACAAGAATATAGGCTAGGTGTGGTGGCTCATGCCTTTGATCCCAGCACTTGGGAGGCAGAGACAGGCAGATCTCTTGAGTTTGAGGCCAGTCTGGTCTACATAGTGAGTTCCAGGCCAGCTGGGACTGTAGGGACTTTCTAAAAAAAAAAAAAAAAAAAAAAAAAAAAAAAAAGACAGGATACTTACCTACCTATATTTTTTTGTCATAAAGTGTGCCTTTTTGTTTGCTCCTGTATGAGTTTATTAAGTGACATTTCATTTCATTTAGGCAACCCTAAAGATGTTGTTGGATCATTTGAAATTGGTAGCTTCGTACCATGAAGTAAATAAGATGACCTGCCAGAATTTGGCTGTGTGCTTTGGACCAGTGTTGCTAAATCACAGGCAAGAGACTTTGACCCACAACAACAGGGTCTTCACCGATTCTGAGGAACTTGCAAGTGCTTTGGATTTTAAAAAGCATATTGAAGTTCTTCATTATTTACTCCAACTCTGGCCAGGTAAATGATTTCTCTGGAAATATTTTTCTTTTACAATGATAGGATATGTGAATTAAATCATGACTAAAATGCCCGAGTATGATTGAAGAAAATCTTTACCAGATTTTTCTTTTTCAAATAGAATTGACACCAGCTCTTTTTCACAGTATTGTAGGCATATGAACCATTGCACACATTTTGGATTCATCAGATCTGAGTCCAAATTCTGGCTGTATCACATAGATCACTCTGACTTTGGCAAGCTCCTTAACTGTATAAATACTATTGTGTTTTGTCTTATGAGTTTAATAACTTCATAGACTTCATATGAGAATTAAATCATATGAGAATTTATATAACTAAAGTGCTCAGCACAGCTTTTAGCACAAAATACTCATTTTAATATTAATTTTTTCTCATCTTTTGTTCATTTGTTATGAAGCAAAATTCATTTTTCCCTTCAAGTTCATTCTTTAAAAAATTTTTTACTATTTTTATGTGTGTGAGTGTATTGCCTGCACGTATATAAGTGCACCTGTGTCATGTCAAAAAAGGGCATCGATCTCCTGGAACTGGAATTATTGATGGTTGTTGGCTACCATGTGGGTGCTGGGAACCAAACCTGGTTCCTTTGAAAGAGCAGCCAGTGCTCTTAACTGTTGAGCCATCTCTCTAGCCCCCATTCTTTTTTTTTTTTTTTTTTAAGATTAATTTTTATTTATATGATACTCACATATATGAAGGTGCCTGAGGAGGCCAGAAGAGGACGTCAGATACCTTGGAATTGGAGTTACAGGTAGTTATGAGCTGCCAGAGAACCCAACTTGGGTCCTCTGGAAAAATAGCAAGTGCTTTTAACCACTGAACCATCTCTCTAGCCTCAAGTTCTTTCTTTTTGACAGAATTACTGTATTAGTGGTTATTCTTTAAATTATTCCAGCTTGAGCTAACAATTATTTTTGATATTTTGGTCTTATTTTGATAT